CTGCCGAGAAACCTCGGAGATTGTGAGGGGAGATTGGTGAAACAGGAGAAGTAACATAAACCAAATGATTCTCATGTTTGTCTATAACAACAACTCTTTTGTAAGGGACATGAGAGTGGATGATATTTATAGGAATGGGAATAAAAAAGTAAGGAAATGATGGGGGTGGGACGAGAGTTGTTGTAGTGTTGTGAAGAGAGGAATAGTAAGTAGTATAGTGGATTTAGTTCACGGGTTGGTTTGATTGGAGCATCAAAGTGAGGGGATGTTGGCTTTATTATCTAATTAATGTGTGAAAGTACATAGCTAGTGATCATGTTGGGAAGTATATTCAGCATCTTTGAGTTCATATTGGGCTTTGGTTGGGGATGTGACGCACGATAAATCGATCGATAGGAAGATTTCTCCATAGTTTCAGTAAGAATAATCTGAATACGAAGCCTGAAAACAACTTATCCAAAATACAGGCCCAGTAACTAAAACAGTTCGAAACGGCCTGAAAAAGAATTTGAGCCCGAAGAAAAGAACAGACGATCTCTAGTCAGGCAGCCCATTTGCCACGTCGCGGGGCTCGAAAAATAATGCTATTCGCAGACGCCTGGATCGCCTTTGATCGCGCCATCCAGCCCAGACGCTACGGCTGTTGCTGTTCGAAGTGTATGTGCGCCAACGACCCTCCTCATCCTGATCCGGACCACTCCGATCTGCACCACTTTGCACGGTCATTAGAAAATGACTCCTTTGTACGTATTTTCAAACGATTGCAAGATATGAGGTCGAGTAATTGGACAATGGCTGTCATCTTTTTGCTGATTCCGGGGATTTCATTCTTGTTTTTAATTTAGAATATGGTGTGAGATTGCGAATCATGGTTTTATTTATTGAATCCGGGTAGATTGCATGAGTAAGCCTCCTTGTTTTGTCTTTCATTTTGTATTCATTCCTTAATCAATAAGTGAACTGAGCTATATTTTCACACTGATACTTCCCTAGGAACAAGTTTATACAGTTAGAATTGTCATGCTTATAAATCATCACTACATAAAGCCGGAGGTAACAGGATGAAGTGGGGGTATATGACTGATTAATTATCTTCATTTTGTGGAGAGATGTGTGTAGAAGATCGTACCTGGCCACAATTTCGCCTGACAGGCGAGTGGCAGCGGACGAGGCTCTAGACTCGCCTGCTGGCGAGATGCAACAATTTCGCCTGACAGGCGAGTGGCAGCGGACGAGGCTCTAGACTCGCCTGCTGGCGAGATGCAAGCGAGACTCGCCTGATGGCGAGGTCGAGGCGATTGGAGGCGAGGCGATGAATTGAGCTCGCCTGTAAGTGCGAGTTCGCCTGCAGCAGTTGTTGAAGGCGAGATTAAGACTCGCCTGTTGGATCTCGCCAAGGAGGTCGCCTGCACGTGGTGAGGAGAGCGATCTCGCCTGTAGTTCATGATCTCGCCTGACGCAGTGGAAGACAGCTGGATCCCACTCGATTGGTGTGAGCTTGCCCTAGGGTTTCCCTATAAAAGGGAAACCCTGTTCACAGGAGCAGAGTGAGCGCGTTTTGGAGCAGAGAGGGGGAGAAGCTTGGCGGCTAAGATTCTTGAGCTTCTGTTCTCTCTGCAGTTTGGAAAAATTCCAAATTTTATTCCTTTCTTTGTCCCATTCTCATTTATTGTTGAGAAGAGGGTTGGTGAATTAAATCGGGGAATTTATTGTAAGAGAGAGAGAGGGAGGGAGTTTTGAGCATTGATTTTAGATTAAAATCAGTTGCTATTTGTTGAGAGATCTCAAGTTTGAGATCCTCTCTCTTATTTGTAATTTCTTGTTATTAATAAGAAATTATTGTATCGCTCTCGTGGACGTAGGCAGATTTGCCGAACCACGTAAAATCTGGTGTCTTGCATTTGGGGTACTTGTTTCTGATTGTTGATAAGTATTCCAATCTCGTTTGTATTTGTGTGCCGTCGCTTCCGTCGGGCACAACAAGTGGTATCAGAGCTCCGGGTTTGACTTGGGGTTCATTTTGGAGAAGAAAGCTAGAGCTTGGATTCTCATTTGAAGAGATTGGATTATCAACATGGGTGATACTAGCAGGGCTAGTTCAAGTGCTACAAGTACATCGGGGTCGGCTTTGACAAAGGCGATCCAAAATTTGAGCATCAGTAATACTAAGATTGATGTTCCAAAGTTCGACGGCAAGATCAATTTTGGTTTGTGGAGGTGTCTAGTAATGGACGCCTTGGATGCACAAAATTTGGAGGAGACTCTTGAGCTACAAGAGAAACCCGAAGATAATGAAGACAATGTTTGGAAGATAATGAATAGTAGAGCGTGTGGGGTTATTCGATCATGTTTGACGCCGGACTTGATTTATGATGTGATGAACGAGACTCCGACGAAACGGTTGTAGGAAACACTCAAAGAGAAGTATCTTACGAAGAGCATTGAGAATCAACTTCACTTGAAGAAGAGGTTTTACCAATTCAAGATGAAGAGGGGAGTTTTCATCAGGGAACATGTCAATAACTTCACAAAATTACAATCGGATATGGCCAATGTGGAAATCATGGTAGAGAATGAAGATAAGGCGATGTTGTTGCTATGTTCATTGCCAGAGGATGATTTTGGTACATTTGTCCTTACGATGATCAATGGTAGAACCACTGTCAGCTATAAGGAGGTGATCTCAGCATTGGTGAATTATGAGTTGAGGAAGAGAGATAGTGAACCCTCCGAGAAGGCATCGGGAGATGCATTAGCAGTGAGAGGCCGTAGTCCAAACCGCCGTCCATTAAATCGCTCCAAGTCGAAGAATAGAGGTGGCTATAAGAGTGTTGATAGGAATCAATGTTGCTTCTGTAAAGAAGAGGGACATTGGAAGATCGATTGCCCAAAGTTGAAGGACAAAACCGGGAAGAATAAAGAGAAACCTGTACAAGCTTCGGAAGTGAATGTTGTCAAGGCTAGTGACGACAATTCAGATACGGATTCTTCAGGCTATTCTTGCTCTGCATTACCGTCAGTTTATTACGCTGACTCTATGGAGTGGATGATGGATTCTGGTGCTACATACCATATTTGTCCTAGGAGGGATTGGTTCTCCAGCTTTGAGGAGTTGGAAAGAGAGGATGTCGTGCTCATGGGTAATGATCACGTATGCCCTATTGGTGGTATTGGTACAGTACGGATCCGGATGTGTGACGGGGTAACTCGGGAGCTGAAGGAAGTAAGATTCGTTCCTCAATTGATGAAGAATATCATTTCGCTTGGAACTTTGGAGGCAGCTGACTATAAGGTGATCTTGGAGAATGCGACTCTGAAGGTCACAAAGGGGTCCATGGTGATGATGCGAGGTGTCAGGGAAAACAACCTTTACTACTTAAAAGGCAAGACAGTAACAGGGGATCTGGCAGCTTTGATTACCACAGAGGAAGATACTACCAACTTATGACATATGAGATTAGGACACACTGGTGATAAGTCCCTGTAGGTATTGGCAAAACAGGGGCTATTGAAGGGTGCAAAGACCTGCAAGATGGAGCTATGTGAACATTGCATACTTGGAAAGAAGACAAAAGTGAAATTCGGCACCGCAATTCATAATACCCAAGGTATATTGGATTATGTTCATACTGATGTTTGGGGTTCTTCCAAGAACACATCTCTTGGTGGGGCTAATTATTTTGTCACTTTCATTGATGATTATTCTAGGAGGAATTGGTTATACCCCATGAAGCATAAACATGAGGTCCTGGATATATTTGTGGAGTGGAAGAAGAAAGTGGAGCTGCAGACAGGTAGAAAGGTGAAGGTACTCCGTTCGAATAATGGTGTTGAGTACAAGAGTGATCCGTTTCTGCAGTTTTGTCGGGATCACGACATTAGACGATACTTCACAGTTCGTGAGACACCGCAACAAAACGGGGTAGCTGAAAGGTTAAACCGTACCTTGCTGGAGAAGGTGCGATGTATGATGATACAGAGTGGATTGTCAAGATCCTTTTAGGCCGAGGCATTGGTTTATGCAAGCCATCTCGTGAATAGGTTGCCGTGCACTGCGATACATGGAAAGACTCCTATGAAAAAATGGTATGGTTCAGCGGCTAGTGATTATGAGTCGCTTCGGATATTTGGGTGTCCTGCTTATTACTATGTTAGTGATGGTAAATTGAATCCGAGGGTGAGAAAAGCAGTCTTTGTGGGTTTTAGAGATGGAGTTAAAGGTTTCAAGTTGTGGGATCCACAAGACAAGAAGATGATCATTAGCAGAGATATCACGTTTGATCAGGCTCACATGATGAGGTCTCAAATTCCTCAGCAGTTGGAGGAAGGCCAGACTAGTGGGGTATCACAGCAGGTGGAGGATGATGTGACTCCACAGACTTCAGATAGCATTGTATCTATCGAGACTCCTACAGAGGTGACACTGGGAGGAGATGATATGACAGATGGGCAGGTGGAGGATACAGTGGATATTAGGACTCAGGAACATGATCATATTTAGGAGTCTATTGCAGCTAATAGACCAAGAAGAAATATTCGTCGGCTAGCTAGATATGATGATGTCATGGTTGCATATGCTTTATCAGCAGAAGTCGTTGATGATTTGGTTCCTTCTACATTCAAGGAAGCATAGTCAAGCTCTGATTCGATTAGGTGGAGGGAAGCTATGGAGGAAGAGATGCAGTCTCTTCATAAAAACGACACTTGGGAACTTGCAAAGCTACCGAAAGGTAAGAAGGCTATTGGATGCAAGTGGGTGTATGCAAAGAAAGAGGGATCTTCTATTGGGGACATTCGGTACAAAGCCAGATTGGTTGTCAAAGGGTATGCCCAACTTGAGGGTATAGATTACAATGAGGTATTCTCACCTGTTGTAAAGCATTCGTCGATTAGGATTCTGTTGGCGTTAGTTAGTGACACAGCTGGATTTGGATTTGGTCCAGATGGATGTGAAAACAAC